TTAAGGGGATTTAAATGATATGATTTGTTCATAAAAACTTTTAAAGAATATACAGAAAATACATTTTTACTAGGTATCTCATACTGACCTGTTTCAATATAACATCCTAGACAGTAAAACTGAGTTCCTACCTCCTAATCCCACGTAGAGCAGGTGATAATCTCAAACTGATTGTGAGTTTTAGGAAGTTCATTCAGTGTGCTTGTTCTAACCAATCCAGCTGGTGTGAGAATTACAGTAGACAAAGAAGTGCAGCATCCACAGAGACAAAGCTCTCACATACTGTCACACCTGACAACATTCTGAGTGACTTGTGTCGTAGTCACTGATATGTTCTGACAGTCAGCTGCGTTTTTACAAACACTGCTGCAGCCTCGACCATCCTGCTGTGTTCTGCCCTCCATCTTTACTTAGTCCAGTTAACTCTTGTCGTACGCCTGTAGCATGTGCTGCCTGGTTGATCCGGAGCTGCTGCTGCCCAGAACAGAGTCATTAGCCTGTTTCCGGATCCAGTCCAGCATGCAGAACCTCAGCATCAGGAAGAAGCCTGGGGAACAAACCAGAATCTGGATTAATTCATTCTGTGTGAAAGTTACTTTTACAGTCATGGGTGCAAAGCCTTCAGCAACAAACAGCTTTTATTCTCCCAAACATGTAGTCTTACTCTTCCTGTTGCTTTTGGTTCAATTCCCATGCTGCCTTTGTAGACTCAGTTGACTAAACTCATAATTTGAGAACTAAAAAAGTCCTCCGTCTGAAAGTTAGAGAATAAAAATGAAGAAATGTGGTTTCTGTGAGAGGAAACAGCTTAACTCCTGATAGGCAGCAGTAGCAGAAGGCCATGATAAGTCATGGCCATTGTTTCATTCCCACACTGATACAATAAATGTTCGACTCCAAACGCACAGTTCTTATCTTTGAGCCAACAATGAAACTGTCTCTGTTTCATAAATGACTAAAAACTTCTCTAAAAAAAAAAAAAAAAAAAAGCTACAGAGAAGTTTATTAACAAGCTTATTGTGTCGTTGTTAAGCATAAATGCTTAATTTAAACTGAAAGTACAATCTAGACTAGATGAACATCACAAACCTTGCAAGGAGTTTAGGATGCAGGAGAGGAAGAGAATGAAATCTGACAGGGGTTCATAGTTCAGGAAGGCCAGACCCCAAGTTGTCCCGAAGAGGCAGCTGAGACCCCAGATGCTGAGAAAAGCCACACGGTTCTGTTTCCATTCATCCCTGGTGCGGATCTCCCCGTAAACAATGAAGAGCATAACAGCCCCAGATGTCACCAGGATGGCCAAGACTGTCATATTTGTGAAACAAATAGCCAGAAAGGTCTGGAAGGTGTCAGTTTTCATCCAGCACCTGCAGGAAACACACAAAAGGCCAGAAGGCGTCACTGCACATGAAACAAGGCCTTGTTGTTTGTGCCACAGCCAAATAATACTGTTTTAAGTAATCACCCTCCAGCTAATATGCACGTTTCTTCACAGAAGAACAGGGAATTACAGAAGTACTCCCTCACTTGTTTCACTTTTAATTTTGAGGTTTTACGACCTGGAATTTAACAAGTCTTTCAGTTTGATTATGAACAACAAACATGCACAAAATGCTCTAGAAAAACGATAACTGTGGAGAGAGAAATAAGACCAACCGTTTCTAATGTGTCCAAAGACAAAATGGAGACTCCCAATCATGTGGAAGGAGGGGCTGTGGTCTGATCAGACAATAAAACTAAACATCTTGATCATCAAGAACAGCACACAGTATCTGGTGTACATCGAACAGTTCTCATCATGCTGTGAACAGCATCCCCAGTGAAGCATGGTAGTGATAGCATCATGCTGTGGGGAGGGTTTCATCAGCAACAGCTGGGAAAACTGGTGAGGGTTGAAGGAAAGATGGATGGAGCAAAATACAAAGAAACTCGAGACTTCCAGAGATTAGAGGGTGGCACAAAGGTTCAGGTTTCAGTAGGACAATGACCCAAAACACTTCATTAGTTTAAAAGAGACATGGGTAAATGTCCGGGAATGACCCAGTCACAGCCTAAACTTCAATCTGACTGAGAAGTTCTGGTTTGATTTAAGGACTGTTGACCATAAGTGGTGTCCTTCAGACTTGTAGGAGCTGAAGCAGTTTATTCATAAAGAATGGGCAAATATAAAAATCCTGTGACTAGATGGGCAATCCTAGAAACTGTAAGGCAACTAAAGTGACAAAAAAAAAATCTAAAGGGCTAAATAGTTTTGCAAATGAAAACATGTTTAATGATTTAAAGTTCATGCTCAATAATCCAGGTACAAAATCCAACAGAATTCAGTCAGGTCATCTGGACGATTTATGTTTTTGTTTATTTGTTGAGACGTTTCGTCCTTCATCCAAAGGATTTCATCAATCTGAGGAGCCACAAACAAACTCAGTCCCACAAGCATCACACTCCCATAGTGGACCAACCAGTTTGATGGTGATGATTGTTTCTGGGGCCCGCCCTCTCCCCCGTCATTTCCTCTTAGACAGCCATAGCCAAAGTGGTTCAAAACATCAAAATTCATGCTCAATAATCCAGGTAAAAAAATCCAACAAAGTTCAGTCAGGT